CTGTCTTCAAGACTGAGGGGAGGGTTTAAATCCTCACCTTCCACTGTCTTCAAGACTGAGGGGACTGATTATCCTCACCTTCCACTGTCTTCAAGACTGAGGGGACTGATTACCCTCACCTTCCACTGTCTTCAAGACTAGAGGGACTGATTACCCTCACCTTCCACTGTCCTTCAAGAATGAGGGGACTGATTACCCTCACCTTCCACTTCTTCAAAGACTGAGGGACTGATTACCCTCACCTTCCACTGTCTTCAAAAACTGAGGGGACTGATTACCCTCCCCTTTCCCACTGTCTTAAAGGGACTGAGGGGACGATTATCCTCACCTTCCACTGTCTTCAGACTGAGGGGACTGATTATCCTACCTTCCCACTGTCTTCAAGACTGGGGGGACGATTACCCTCACCTTCCACTGTCTTCAAGACTGAGGGGACTGATTACCCTCACCTTCCACGTCTTCAAAATGAGGGACTGATTACCCTCACCTTCCACTGTCTTAAAGGGATGAGGGGACTGATTACTCTTACCTTCCACTGTCTTCCCAAGACTGAGGGGATGATTACCCTCACCTTCCACTGTCTTCAAGACTGAGGGGACTGTTTAAACCCTCACCTTCCACTGTCTTAAAGAATGGGGGGGACTGATTACCCTCACCTTCCACTGCCCTTCAAGACTGAGGGGATTTGATTACCCCACATTCCACTGTCTTCAAGACTGAGGGACTGATTACCTCACATTCCACTGTCTTCAAGACTGAGGGGACTGATTACCCTCACCTTCCACTGTCTTCAAGACTGAGGGGACTGATTACCCTCACCTTCCACTGTCTTCAAGACTGAGGGGAACTGATTACTCTTCCCTTTCCCCACTGTCTTCAAGACTGAGGAGGGAACTGTTTACCTCACCTTCCACTGTCTTCAAGGACTGAGGAGGGACTGGATTACCCTCCCCTTTCCCACTGTCTTCAAGACTGGGGGATGATTAAATTTCTTACCTTCCACTGTCTTCAAGACTGAGGAGGGACTGATTACCCTCACCTTCCACTGTCTTCAAGACTGAGGGGACTGATTACCCTCACCTTCCACTGTCTTCAAGACTGAGGGGACTGATTACTCTTACCTTCCACTGTCTTCAAGACTGAGGAGGGACTGATTACCCTCACCTTCCACTGTCTTCAAGACTGAGGAGGGACTGATTACCCTCACCTTCCACTGTCTTCAAGACTGAGGGGACGGGATTACTCTTCCCTTTCCACTGTCTTCAAGATGAGGAGGACTGTTACCCTCACCTTCCACTGTTTCAAGACTGAGGAGGGACTGATTACCCCACCTTCCACTGTCTTCAAGACTGAGGGGGACTGATTACCCCTCACCTTCCACTGTCTTCAAGACTGAGGAGGGACTGATTCCCCTCACATTCCACTCTCTACATACATCATCTCTACATTCAACTGATGAATTCACTGGATGTCCAAGCATCTCCACATTAAAGCCACCCAGTGAGATTCACGTCAATAGCACCTCGACCTCATCTCACAAGTAATTCATGTCTCCTCCCAGGGCTAAATTATACGATATAGCTGTATATATCTTTTTATTTTGTTTAATTGACATGACAGTAATGGCTGACCAAGTGACATGACAGTGAGGGTTGACCCTGTGACATGGCAGTTAGGGTTGACCCTGTGACATGGCAGTGAGGGTTGACCCTGTGACATGGCAGTGAGGGTTGACCCTGTGACATGATAGTGAGGGTTGACCCTGTGACATGACAGTGAGGGTTGACCCTGTGACATGACAGTGAGGGTTGACCCTGTGACATGACAGTGAGGGTTGACCCTGGTGACATGACAGTGAGGGTTGACCCTGTGGACATGACAATGAGGGTTACCCTGTGACATGGGAGTGAGGGTTTACCCGTGGGCTGAACAGTGGGGTTGACCCTGTGACATGACAGTGAGGGGTTTACCCCGTGACATGGCAGTGAGGGTTGACCCCGTGGACATGGCAGTGAGGGGTTTACCCTGTGACATGACAGTGAGGGTTTGACCCAGTGACATGGCTGTGAGGGTTGACCCTGTGACATGACAGTGAGGGTTGACCCTGTGACATGACAGTGAGGGTTGACCCTGTGACATGGCAGTGAGGGTTGACCCTGTGACATGACAGTGAGGGTTGACCCTGTGACATGACAGTGAGGGTTGACCCTGTGACATGACAGTGAGTGTTGACCCAGTGACCCTGACAGTGAGGGTTGAACCCCGTGACAGGCAGTGAGGGTTTACCCTGTGACATGACAGTGAGGGTTGACCCAGTGACAGACAGTGAGGGTTGACCCAGTGACATGACAGTGAGGGTTGACCCAGTGGACATGACAGTGGAGGTTGACCCTTTTGACATGACAGTGATTTGACCCAGTGACATGGCAGTGAGGGTTGACCCAGTGACATGGCAGTGAGGGTTGACCCAGTGACATGACAGTGAGGGTTGACCCAGTGACATGGCAGTGAGGGTTGACCCAGTGACATGAAAGTGAGGTTGACCCTGTGACATAACAGTGAGGGTTGACCCAGTGACATGACAGTGATGGTTGACCCTGTGACATGACAGTGAGGGTTGACCCAGTGACATGACAGTGAGGGTTGACCCTGTGACATAACAGTGAGGGTTGACCCAGTGTACATGATAGTGAGGGTTTTACCCCGTGACATGACAGTGGGGGTTTACCCAGTGACAGGGCAGTGAGGGTTGACCCAGTGACATGACAGTGAGGGTTGACCCTGTGACATGACAGTGAGGGTTGACCCAGTGACATGACAGTGAGGGTTGACCCTGTGACATGACAGTGATGGTTGACCCTGTGACATGACAGCAATGGCTGACCCTGTGACATGAGAGTGACATGACAGTGATGGTTGACTCTGTGACATGACAGTGATGGTTGACCCTGTGACATGACAGTGACATGACAGTGAGGGTTGACCCAGTGACATGACAGCAATATAGTCAGTCCCTCAGAGACATCATAAGTGAAGTCAGGGACATCACAATGGTCGTCACAGTCACTGATGTCACAACACACATCAACTTACGCTAATACATAGAAATATTTCAATATGTAACTTGTATATACAACCTATTGCACAGCTGTACGACTAGTCTCAGTACGACTAGTCTCAGTACTAGTCTCTGTACGACTAGTCTCAGTACTAGTCTCTGTACGACTAGTCTCAGTACTAGTTTCTGTACGACTAGTCTCAGTACTAGTCTCAGTACGATTAGTCTCAGTGCTAGTTTCTGTACGACTAGTCTCAGTAATAGTCTCTTTACGACTAGTCTCAGTACTAGTTTCTGTACGACTAGTCTCAGTACGACTAGTCTCAGTACTGTCTCTGTACGAACTGTCTCAGTCTAGTCCCATGGGCGACTAGTCTCAGTACGACTAGTCTTAGTACGATTAGTCTCAGTGCTAGTTTCTGTACGACTAGTCTCAGTAATAGTCTCTGTACGACTAGTCTCAGTACGACTAGTCTCAGTACGATTAGTCTCAGTGCTAGTCTCTGTACGATTAGTCTCAGTGCTAGTCTCTGTACGACTAGTCTCAGTACGACTAGTCTCAGTACTAGTCTCTGTACGGCTAGTCTCAGTACGGCTAGTCTCAGTACGACTAGTCTCAGTACGCCTAGTCTCAGTACGATTAGTCTCAGTGCTAGTCTCTGTACGACTAGTTTCAGTACGACTAGTCTCAGTACGACTAGTCTCAGTACGGCCAGTCTCAGTATGACTAGTCTCCGTACGACTAGTCTCAGTACGGACTAGGGTTTTCGTATGGCTAGTCTCAGTACAGCTAGTCTCCATACGACTAGTCTCAGTACTAGTCTCAGTACGACTAGTCTCAGTACGGCCAGTCTCAGTATGACTAGTCTCCGTACGACTAGTCTCAGTACGACTAGTCTCAGTATGGCTAGTCTCAGTACAGCTAGTCTCCATACGACTAGTCTCAGTACTAGTCTCAGTATGACTAGTCTCAGTACGACTAGTCTCAGTATGACTAGTCTCAGTACGACTAGTCTCAGTATGACTAGTCTCGGTACGACTAGTCTCAGTACAGCTAGTCTCAGTATGACTAGTCTCAATACTAGTCTCTGAACGACTAGTCTCAGTACGACTAGTCTCTGAAGGACTAGTCTCAATACGACTAGTCTCTGAACGACTAGTCTCAGTACGACTAGTCTCTGAAACTAGTCTCAGTACGACTAGTCTTTTGAACGACTGTCTCAGTACGACTTTGTCTCTGAAAAGAATATCTCAATACGACTAGTCTCTGAACGACTAGTCTCAGTACGACTAGTCTCTGAACGACTAATCTCAGTACGACTAGTCTCTTGAACTAGTCTCAGGAGACTAGTCTTCTGAACAATAGTTTCCTGAACGGGCTAGTCTCAGTAACGACTAGTCTTTTGACGACTATCTCAGTTTACGACTAGTCTCTGAAAGGGCTAGTCTCCCCGTACGACTAGTCTCTGAACTAGTCTTCAGTACGACTAGTCTCTGAACTAGTCTCAGTAGACTAGTCTCGAACTAGTCTCCATACTAACTTATATTTTACTCTAAATGCAATTAATAATAATAAAATAATAATAATTTAAAAATAATAATAATAATAACAATAATAATAATAATAATAATAATAATTAAAAATATGCAATATGAATAATAATTATATAAACAATAATAAATTATATAAATCTAGGGTAATATACACAGAATAAAAAAATTATTTATAATTTAAAAATGCCAAAAACAAAAATAATTATAATAATTTACATATATTATTTACAAGGGGGGACTAATATATATATATATATATATATATATTTCTAAATAGTTTGCCACAAAAATTCGTTTTTAGTGTAAACAGAAAACGGGATGTGGTTCATGTCTTGTTAATGATAAATCACTTTTTAAAAGTCTGTACATAAATTATTTCATCGTACTGTGTACTTCAGAGCCTCGTTAACCAGGTTACACTGTACTTTACATATTTCGTAATCATTTACAGTGATGTATATAGCGTTAATTTGTCTAGTAATTCCTTAAGTTACCCGTGAGAATTGGCCCATCTGAGTTACCTAAATTTATGCAAATTCGCTATTATGTTAGAGAAATTTGGTTATTTTAAACTACGAATATATGTACAAAATAAAATTGAGTAAGAAAATCGGTGGTATTGTGAAATTAAATATTATTTTCTGTGAATATTTGCATAAAATTTAGGAGTTCTCAGAAATTTTAAATCTGTCGAGGGGTAACTGCACTAAATTTCCCATTGGAAAAAATAATACACGTGCAATTGATATTAAAGTTAGTTGCCACATTGTTCTGCTTTATGCACATCAACTGCATGATTTTGATGTGTTACTGGAGATATAATCCACACGTTGACGGAGCCATGTACGTAGAATCAAGGACAATCTTAAAACAACGTCCCCAGCACAACAGATCCAGCACTGTTATTGTCCTTAGGACTTACACGTATTTGCAGTTTCTGTTTTCTTTGCTTTCTGTTGCTTATGTCTTTTTTGTAAATTAATTTTTAGCTCAGTCACTGCCTTTGTATGTTCCATCTCTTAGTGCAAGTGAATGATCCTTATGAGTCAATGTATATACACTGAGAGGTGTATATACACTGAAAGGTGTACATCTCAGTGTATATACACTGAGAGGTGTATATCTCAGTGTATATACACTGAAAGGTGTACATCTCAGTGTATATACACTGAGAGGTGTATATCTCAGTGTATATACACTGGTAGTTTACATTAATCAGTATTTTAGGTATTAAAGTATTCTTGACTGGTGGTGTACAGGTGACATGCAGCCTTAATGACCCTCGTGTAGCAGATAGACTTGAAACTCCATTAGCTGGCTAATCAGATTCAACTAATTACTGTCCATGTGTAAGATAATCACCGGTTTGACATTAGCTAATCACTGTTCTTGTATCACATGATCACTACTCATTTTACAGCCAATCACTGTAACAGTATCACTATCACTACTCCTGTCACAATCACTGTTCTTGTGTCACTGTCACAGCTCTTGTCACACTTAATCACTGTTAGTGTAATATAGCCGTTTGGGTTGAAGGTATGAGAAATAACCCACTTTGTGTATGTTAGGGGCCAGTGACCCTGGGTAGCCGGACTACTAATTATGGGCAGCCCTGGATGGCTGGACTAGCAATTATGGGCAGCCCTGGGTGGCTGGATGGGCAGCCTCGGTGGCTGACTAGTATGGGCAGCCCTGAGTGGCTGGGCTAGTGGGTATGGGTCCTTCACTTGGTCTGGGTATCATCGTCACGATCCTGGTGAGCACTCATGTGGCGTGTCAAGTGATGCCTCTCCCTGAAACTCTCGTTGCAAATGTTGCATTTCAGACGCTCGTTGCGACGCTTCTTGTAGGGATCAGCCTCTCTCTTGTGCTGGGAACGCATGTGGTACACTAGATCCGACGTCATGCGGAAAGAAATGTTGCACTTGGCGCACACGTTCTGCGTCGTCTGGCCGAAGGACGTCAGCGACGGAGGCATTAGCGCTGACACGGACGGCTGCGACAAGAACGGCGACGCGGCACTGAGTTTCGCAGCGTCGGCGGCAGACGGAGCAGACAGCGGGTACGTTAGGGATGTAAACGGCAGTTTGTAAGGGTCTGTCGGACACATAGTTGACCGCAGACGGGATAGCGCTTCGCTGGCAGACATATCGCTGTGTTTGGAATCGATAAGCTGGTGGTGAGACTTCAAGTATTCTTCAACAAGGTTGTTGTTGAGGCGATCTGGGGTAGCGTGGGGCAGGAAGGGTGCCAACCCAGGATTTAGCAACCCAGGGGCTGCCAGCAGGGGTGCCAGGGACTTACCGCTACCCAACAGCGAGCTAACGGCGCTAAAAGAGGCGGAAACTGGCGGCCAAGCGGAGCTAAGAGCTTCCAGAGTAGCTGACGCCGCGCTGAAGTGAGGCGGCGAAGAACCTTGAGATCGAGTGACCTTCGTGAAGGCGCTGCCTGTTGTGACCTCCTCTCTGGGCGGCGAGGGCGGCAGGGGCGGTGATTGCTGTGGCCGTTGGCGGCGATGTGACCTTCAGGCCGCCCATACGGCTCACTTTAGCAGCAGGTGTGGCCACCTCGGGGTCAAGGATGTGGTCACGAGCACCTGTTAGGAAGGCCACATCGAAGCTTCGCTTCGTGGGAGATGTATGGGGGCTGGACCCCCCGCTCACCCCACGCACATGGGGGCTGGACCCCCCGCTCACCCCACGCACCCCATCCATGATCATCACGCCTGTAACAGTAACACTGCATCAGTAACACTCTCACAGTAACACTGTATTAGTAACAGTGACAATGTAACACTAACAGTAACAGTGTAACACTAACAGTGTTACAGGTGAGTGCAAATACAATTAGGTGAGAGTATCAATAACACCGTAACACTAACAGTGTATCAGAAACACTAAAATTAGCAGTAACACTGCATCAGTAACACTAATAGCAACATTGTAACACTTACAGAAACACTGTAACACTAACAGTGTATCAGTAACACTGTAACACTAACAGTGTATCAGTAACACTGCAATACTAACAGTGTATCAGTAACACTAAAACTAACAGTAACACTGCATCAGTAACACAACACTAGCGGTAACACTAACAGTAACACTGCAACAGTAACACTGCAACAGTAACACTAACAGTAACATTGCAACAGTAACACTAACAGTAACACTGCAACAGTAACACTAACAGTAACACTGCAACAGTAACACTAACAGTAACACAGCAACAGTAACACTGCAACAGTAACACTAACAGTAACCATAACACTGCAACAGTAACACTGCAACAGTAACACTAACAGTAACCAGTAACACTGCAACAGTAACACTAACAGTAACACTGCAACAGTAACAGTAACACTGCAACAGTAACACTAACAGTAACACTGCAACAGTAACACTAACAGTAACATTGCAACAGTAACACTAACAGTAACACTGCAACAGTAACACTAACAGTAACACTGCAACAGCAACACTAACAGTAACATTGCAACAGTAACACTAACAGTAACACTGCAACAGTAACACTAACAGTAACACTGCAACAGTAACACTAACAGTAACATTGCAACAGCAACACTGACAGTAACACAGCAACAGTAACACTAACAGTAACACTACAACAGTAACACTAACATTAACACTGCAACAGTAACACTAACAGCAACATTGCAACAGTAACACTAGCAGTAACAGTTCAACAGTAATACTAACAGTAACATTGCAACAGTAACACTAACAGTAACATTTCAACAGTAACACTAACAGTAACACTACAACAGTAAAATTAACAGTAACACCGCAACAGTAGCACTAAAAGTAACACTACAACAGTAACACTAACAGTAACACTGCAACAGTAATACTAAGAGTAACACTGCAACAGCAACAGTAACATTGCAACAGTAACACGGCAAAAGGAGCTAAGACTCGACCCCTGCAACCACAAATAGGTGAGTACTAACAGTAACGCTGCAACAGTAATACTAAGAGTAACACTGCAACAGCAACAGTAACATTACAACAGTAACACTGCAACAATAACACTAACAGTAACGCTGCAACAGAAATACTAACAGTAACACTGCAACAGTAACACTAACAGTAACATTACAACAGTAACACTAACAGTAACGCTGCAACAGAAATACTAACAGTAACACTGCAACAGCAACAATAACAGTAACACTACAACAGTAACACTAACAGTAACACTGCAACAGAAATACTAACAGTAACACTGCAACAGTAACACTAACAGTAACACTACAAGAGTAACACTGCAACAGTAACACAACAGTAACACTGCAACAGTAACACAACAGTAACACTGCAACAGTAACACTAATAGTAACACTACAACAGTAACACTGCAACAGTAGCACTAACAGTAACACTAACAGTAACACAACAACAGTAACACTGCAACAGTAACACTAACAGTAACACAACAGCAGTAACACTGCAACAGTAACACCACAACAGTAACACTACAACAGTAACACTGCAACATTAACGCTGCAACAGTAACACTAACAGTAACACAACAACAGTAACACTGCAACAGTAACACTACAACAGTAACACTGCAACAGTAACACTAACAGTAACACTGCAACAGTAATAAAAGCAGTAACACTAACAGTAACTCTGCAACAGTAACACTAACAGTAACACAACAACAGTAACACTGCAACAGTAACACTACAACAGTAACACTAACAGTAACACAACAACAGTAACACTGCAACAGTAACACTAACAGTAACACTGCAACAGTAACACTACAACAGTAACAGTAACACTACAACAGTAATATTGCAACAGTAACACTGCAACAGTAACACTAACAGTAACACTGCAACAGTAACACTAACAGTAACACTGCAACAGTAATAAAAGCAGTAACACTAACAGTAACTCTGCAACAGTAACACTAACAGTAACACAACAACAGTAACACTGCAACAGTAACACTACAACAGTAACACTAACAGTAACACAACAACAGTAACACTGCAACAGTAACACTAACAGTAACACTGCAACAGTAACACTACAACAGTAACAGTAACACTACAACAGTAACATTGCAACAGTAACACTGCAACAGTAACACTAACAGTAACACTGCAACAGTAACACTAACAGTAACTCTGCAACAGTAACACTGCAACAGTAACACTAACAGTAACACTGCAACAGTAACACTACAACAGTAACAGTAACACTGCAACAGTAACACTGCAACAGTAACACTGCAACAGTAACACTAACAGTAACACTGCAACAGTAACACTACAACAGTAACAGTAACACTGCAACAGTAACACTACAACAGTAACAGTAACACTGCAACAGTAACACTAACAGTAACATTGCAACAGTAGCACTAACAGTAACACTGCAACAGCTACACTGCAACAGTAACACTAACAGTAACACTGCAACAGAAATACTAACAGTAACATTTAAACAGCAACACAAACAGTAACGCTACAACAGTAACACTGCAACAGTAACACTACAACAGTAACACTACAACAGTAACACTACAACAGTAACACTAACAGTAACACTACAACAGTAACACTACAACAGTAACACTAACAGTAACACTGCAACAGTAACACTACAACAGTAACACTACATCAGTAACACTACAACAGTAACACTAACAGTAACACTACAACAGTAACACTACAACAGTAACACTGCAACAGTAACACTACAACAGTAACACTACAACAGTAACACTACAACAGTAACACTACAACAGTAACACTACAACAGTAACACTACAACAGTAACACTACAACAGTAACACTGCAACAGTAACACTACAACAGTAACACTACATCAGTAACACTACAACAGTAACACTAACAGTAACACTACAACAGTAACACTAACAGTACACTGCAACAGTAACACTACAACAGTAACACTACAACAGTAACACTAACAGTAACACTACAACAGTAACACTAACAGTAACACTGCAACAGTAACACTACAACCAGTAACACTACAACAGTAACACATAACAACAGTAACACTACAACAGTAACACTACAACAGTAACACTACAACAGTAACACTACATCAGTAACACTACAACAGTAACACTAACAGTAACACTACAACAGTAACACTAACAGTAACACTGCAACAGTAACACTACAACAGTAACACTACAACAGTAACACTACAACAGTAACACTACAACAGTAACACTACAACAGTAACACTGCAACAGTAACACTACAACAGTAACACTACAACAGTAACACTGCAACAGTAACACTACAACAGTAACACTACAACAGTAACACTACAACAGTAACACTACACAGTAACACTACAACAGTAACACTACAACAGTAACACTACAACAGTAACACTACAACAGTAACACTACAACAGTAACACTACAACAGTAACTTACAACAGTAACACTACAACAGTAACACTACAACAGTAATACTGCAACAGTAACACTGCAACAGTAACACTACAACAGTAACACTGCAACAGTAACACTACAACAGTAACACTACAACAGTAATACTGCAACAGTAACACTACAACAGTAACACTACAACAGTAACACTACAACAGTAATACTGCAACAGTAACACTACAACAGTAACACTGCAACAGTAACACTACAACAGTAACACTACAACAGTAACACTACAACAGTAAACACTACAACAGTAATACTACAACAGTAACACTACAACAGTAACACTACAACAGTAACACTAAACACAGTAACACTACAACAGTAACACTACAACAGTAACACTACAACAGTAACACTACAACAGTAATACTAACAGCAATAATAATAATAATAATAATAATAATAATAATAATAATAATAATAATAATTATTATTATTATTATTATTATTATTATTATTATTATATAACAATGAAAATAACACAGATTTAGAGTGGCCATTAAATAGGTTAATTGGTTGGGTTGGTTAATGGGGTTTCAAGACTATCTACTACACGAGGATCATTAAGGCTACATGTCACCTGTACACCTCCTAAAATCGACTCTATATACATGCAGTACTCCAGGGCACTCTCCTGTCTCCCTGCTTGTTTCTCTAGCTGCTGACACAGAACATTCGGGACATCAACCACAGCTTCCTATCATTCTTTACGGATAATATCAAAATCTATCATTACTGATAGATATCAACAGAGTCTTCCAGTGGGCAGTGGGAAAAAAAATCATGCTGAAATGGGTCAATATCGATTCTATGGACCACAGTGGAAAAATGACAGTCCTCAGTGACGCTCTGATGCTAACCCTGTCCCTGGGTCATCCTGGGTGGCTAACCCTCCCCCCTAGGTCATCCTGGGTGGCTAACCCTCCCCCTGGGTCATCCTGGGTGGCTAACCCTCCCCACTGGGTCATCCTGGGTGGCTAACCTCCCCCTGGGTCATCCTGGTGGGCTAACCCTCCCCCTGGGTCATCCTGGGGGCTAACCTCCCCCTGGGTCATCCTGGGTGGCTAACCCTCCCCCTGGGTCATCCTGGGTGGCTAACCCTCCCCCTGGGTCATCCTGGGTGGCTAACCCTCCCCCCTGGGTCATCCTGGGTGGCTAACCCTCCCCCTGGGTCATCCTGGGTGGCTAACCCTCCCCCTGGGTCATCCTGGGTGGCTAACCCTCCCCCTGGGTCATCCTGGGTGGCTGACC